TCCACCCGCTGCGGGTCAGTTTCAGCAGCGGCTGAATCAGGATGCCTGGGCAGAGCAGATGGGGTGCTGCTGGGTTGGTCCAGTAGCACCCCAGCTGCTCTGCCCCAGGCGTCCCCAAGTCAGCTTCTGCTGAAACTGACCAGCGCTGACTACAGGAAGCCCCAGGCAGAGTTGCTCTGCCCGGGCTTCCTGGAATCAGCTGCTGATCAGTTTCAGCAGCAGCTGACTTGGGGACGCCTGGGGTTCTTAAGTTGATTCTGTATGTAAGTCAGAACTGGCCAGTTCCGACTTACATACAGATTCAACTTAAGAACAAACCTACAGTCCCTATCTTGTACGTAACCCGGGGACTGCCTGTATCTGAAATATAATTTTTGAAGTAAGCAATGGGATCCCTCATTTCAAGACTCTCAATTAGAAGGCTATAGCATTTTGCTTCATATAGCTATTGACATTCATAGTACACTCCTCCCTTTTTACAGCACATGATACATTTGCAATGACATGCAGCAGCAGCCATATGAAGAGCAGGCACATACTACCTGACAGATCAGATGATCAAAGTGCACACACTTAATGAGATCAATGCTTTTCCATAGCAACTTTAAAATGATATACTTAAACATTTCTAAAATGTTCACATGTTGATAATTAAAGTCAGCTGCTTAACAAGCAATCCAGTTGAATAAAAGACACTAGTTTTCACCTAAACTATTGCTAAATATGAATAAAAACACTAGAAGCCAGGAAGAAAGTTGGACAAAGACACTCAATTTTGCACACACCCAGATAAAGCAGAAATAGTCATAATTCTAGTGCCCTCTTTGAAGATGTGTATTACAAAAAAAAGGAAAATGTTTCTCACCCTGTGCAGTAACTAATTCCTTGAGATACAGAACCCATATGGGTGCTCCACTTCAGATATTTATGTGCCTCAAGCCCTTGATTGGAAGTTTCTAGCTAGCAGTGTCAATTTAACTTGTGTGTATGCCCTATTACGCCTTCTCAGAGTAGACATTGAGGCTGTCTAGGGATGTGGAGGCAAAATGCCCTCAGTTCCTTCTCTGCTCACTTATCCCCCTAAAGAACCACCAAAGCAGAGGGAAGAAAGGCGGATAGTGGAGCATACATAGCACACATATCTCTAAGAACTACAGGTCCTGCACAGGATGAACAACATTTCCTTCTTCTTTGAGTAGCGTTCCTTTCAGTGTTCCACTTCAGATGACTTCTGAGCAGCATCCTTAGAAGTTTGAAAACAATGCTGTACTGGTTCCGACGGCATGTGGTAGGACATAATTCTTTGAAGTTAATGTAGCAGCTTTCCAAATCTCTTTTACTAGGTATTCTTCAAAAATGCAGTATATGTCACCTGCAATCTGGCTGAATGCACTCTCGTTCCATGGGGGAAGAGTGGAATGAGCACCTGAAGATTCATAACGGGCAGATACACAACGCAACATTCATTTTTAAAGTAGAAACAGGAGCCCGCTTAGACCTATCTGAGACTCCTAAGTGGGAGAAGTCATGTAGGATCGGTTAGCCATTTACCTAAGTGGGAAGTGATTGATCAGACTGCTACATCCTCATTGGGTAGGAAACATGTATTCCAGTGAACCATGAGTGTGCTACACCTTCACCTGCAAGCCTGGGGTGAAAAATGGGACCCTCCCATCCTGAGACAGGATATGAGGAATAGTTGGGAACCTGAGCGGTGGTTAGACAAAGACCTAAAGCAGGTAAGAGTACCTACTTGACCAAAGCAAGCCTGGTACCATCAGGATAACTCTGGGCTTGTTCTGCCTGATCTTGTTCAGCACCCAGAGTACATTAGGGGACAGGCAGGGAACAAACTCTTCCTCCATGTATAGCAATTAAAGGGTTGCCTAAGGATACTCAAAAATCACCCCCAAGGAGTGGTGACCCAGCTCCCCTCTGCTTACAACAGAAGAGAAGACACTTTCCTGGTGGAGAAAAGATCAATCTCTGGCACATTCCATGAAAAATCTGAGCATTCAGATTCCTTTTGTAGTCCTGGGACAAGGGTCAGCTGAGGGCATTGTGGCAGTATTCCAGATGTCCAGAAAGTAGGCAGCTGATAAAATCTCGATATAGTTGGTTTGGCACGAGTTCCAGGGGTTTACAGCTTTACCACACAAGGAGGAGGATCTTGCTCCTCCTATTTGTTGATGTAAAACATGCACGACATGTCCCTGATCGTTTTGCCTCTGGCAGGAAAGAGAGACAAGTGTTCCTGGTTGATGTAGAGGTTGATGTAGAAACTGGTTTCCATGAATTGTCCACCTACCCTGACCTGAGAAGGAGCTGAGGTTGGCTCCCCATCATAACATGGGAAGTTACTGGTTGTTGGAGTCATTAACGGGATGGTGACAGAAAGAGATGCCTGCACAGACAGAGTTGGTCCTTCTACCAGTTTAGAGAATTCTTTATGTGCAATCCAAACCCCTTACTCTAGTGAAGGAATTATAGTTGCTAGAGTAACCATTCTGAATATTTGAAGCTTCAGATAAGATCAGCTTCGAACCTTCATCCTTCTTTGGTAATAGGAAGTATTCTGAGGAAGGGGAAGGAGCCACTTCCACTGCTCCTAAACAGAAGAGACAGTTCACCTCTTGCCTTAGTAGACGCTTATGAGAGGGTTCCTTGAAGAGTGACATGGAAGGGAGTGCCAGAAACTGCATAGTATAGCCTGTGATATGACCTTTAAGAGCCACTGGTCTGCAGTGATCCATTCCCTAACCTGGTGGAAATGGACAAGACATTCTCCAAAGAGTGAGGTTAAAAGACACATCTGTGGGAGAATTCAAACACTAAATCAACCCATCAAAACTGCTGTTTAGATGATGTTTGGGTGGTCATAAAGGGCAGCTGGGTGGCTGTGTTCCTTTGAAACCAGTGTCTCTTTTTGTGGGAGTTCTGCTGTACCTCCAAAACTGAGCACAGCATGATGTCTGGGCAGTCTGTGCCCTATTAAAATGTTTCTTATTCAAAGTATGTAAATGCCCAAGTAACATAGGGTAACCGTGGATTTCTTCAGCATGTACACGCTTTGTGCACAGCTACTGCCATTGAAATGGATCTGGCAGAAATGTCCAAGTATCTAGAGACTTTTGTAGAGCTGCGGTGGCCCATAGCTCACTCTCTGCAGCTAAGGACTAGAAGTGCTCCCTGAAGTTGTGCGGCTGCTATTCAATAAATGCCCCAAGCTCACCATAAGCAGAAAGGGTGTATTTGGCCATGATCACCTGAGTTTGGTGGGGAATGGGAAAATTAAAAAGTCTGAATGCTTAAGGGACACATGATATTTCTTGTCTGTCCATATTGGTGGAACAGTGATCAGTGTCTGCCATACCATCTTAGCTGGAACCAGAAAAGACTCATTAATAGGTAGTGCTGGCCCGGAGGGTGTTGCAGACTGCAAAATAACTAGCAACTTGCGCTGTGGATTTGGAGGGTGTCAACTACCTTTCTAATTTGGTCCTGAAATTGTCTGATTGTCAGCTACGGAAGGTGATGGAAGCATAAGAGCATCATTCTGAAATGATGGTGAAATGGGAGTCTCAAGAGTAACCTTTTCATTTGTCCTCCTGGGTATGGGAAGACATGAAACTCTGGCCTCTCAGAGGGAAAGTACTGGCGGTCCATTACAGTTCTGGTGATAGGCAGATCACACTTCACAATATGGCCACTACAGGTCCATGGGGGAGAGGTGGCATACAAGGTTCTTTCCACCATGCTTGGTGTCACACAGGAACTCCCTGCTTGAGGACCTTTCCCAAAGAGGTACATAGGAGAACTCCTGGCAGAAATCAAGGAGACCGATTGGGAGTCCTCCTCCTTTGCATCCTCCCATGGGGGACATCCATTGTAGATGGAGGAGAGTCCTGTACCACAGAAAGGCCACATCAAGGAGGTGGTCTTGGTACTAAGAGACACTCGTACCTGATAAAAACAAGGATTCCTCTTTGTCCAACACCGAGGTCCCTCAGGTATCAGTACTCCTGTGGTAGTGCCAGCCATAGCTGGAGGTGACAGTGTCCACAATGACGGGTGATCTGAGGCATGCAGATGTCAGATACTGTTGCTTGCTCAGTACAGACCGCTGAATAGGTACCCCACACTAAGCTGTTTGCATTGGTACCAATGACTGGATTAAGGTTCACAATCTCACTAACAGCTGAGTAGAATGCTGATGGCAGTGCAGAGATCAATGGTACCCGCGTTTATCTTTTTTACTGGAGAAGAATACAGGTGCCCTAACAGCTGGGCTTTCTGCTCATAGAGCTCTAGGGCTTCATGGTACCTGAGAAAGAATCCTTGGCCTCCATAGTAACATCAGGGTCTGGGGACCTTAACAGGGACTCAGTCTTTTTTGGAGTTGGCTCATTAGAGATAAAGTCCAGTCTTCTTTTTGAGAGTCTTCCCAGAATCCAAAGATTTCCTTTCCTTAGGGGAAGCATTCCCTGAAGCTGATGAGGCACTGGATCTGTCTGGGGACAGATGTATGGTGGGGGGGAGTCTTCTGATCTGGCTTACAGGGTAGTTACAGGGAACATTTCATAGCCAACAGTTTGAGCTTTATCTCCCTATCTCATTCCCTTTGAAAAAGAGAAAAGGCACAATGTGCTGGAGGTGGACAGTGTTCCGTAAAAACTGAGGGTGATTCATGCGTACACCCATAAATAGCAAGGCGTCTGCCATGAGAAGGCATAAGGGTACTACGTGCAAGGGCTGAATGGATAGCATTAGCTAGAAATCTTATGATCAAGGGTTCAATTGGCACATTCTCACGTGAAGTGGAGCATCCACAGGGACACTACTGTAAGGAACACTGTTTACAGCTTTCACAGTTTGCTGAGCTAAAATAAAAAGACAGACTTTTGGAGATTTAAACAGAACTTCTGAGCTTCAGCTCCATGTTTACATTTCAAAGTCTATGGAGTGAGAAGGGCAATAGTTTATGACTGATTTAACAATTACCATAACAGAGGGGCAACATGCTCAATAATTATGATTATTTACTTTGATTCCAAACCATGTCTAATAACAATGTTATTAATGTGCTCAAATCTTTTCAATTACAATAAAATAAATAAATAAATAAATAAAAACCTTCTTAGATACAGCACTCAGGGGATATAATCAAATTATATATGTCGCAAAAGTTATTCATAAAGAAAAAACCCCATTTATTTATTATGTCAGGGGGTAGTTACCCTTAATGAAAACAGTTATAAAAGACATTATATTCAACACTAGGGATATGTGCAAGGTTGAGTACTCATCAGCACGCAGATGCAAAATCCATATGCAGGTGGCAGCATTTAAGTGACAAAGTTACACACCTCCTCTTCCTCTGCTTTGTCATTCCAGTCATTGTCATAAGAGGCGCTCAATGAAGTCGCCTTAGGCTCCAGATAGCAGAGGGACAGAGCAAGAGGAAGGGAAAATGTGAGTGAAAAAGGAACAGACTGGAAAGCAGAGAGAAGCAGCACAAAGATAAGGAGAAAAGAGGGAATGAATGAGGGAGAGGTGATAGGAACATAGTGTTGAAGGCCAGGTGGGAGGAAGGAGATGCAGACCTTAGGGAGGCTAGGAAAACTGATATAACCTTCATCATCAAGCAATGAAGGGAAATTAAAAGCAAAGTGTTTGCTAAAGCTTAATGTAAAACTAAACTCAGTATCTTTATAGTCTATTGTTTTATGGGACTTTCCCTTCTTTGCAGGAGAAGAATGGTGAATAAATGGAGGTATCATAGGCTCCATGATATTATTAGTCAATGCTACTTCATTTTCATTTTGAGTTGGTATTTCTCTCATAGGACTGCTCTCCCAGCAGTTTGAGGTGCTATGGACACATTCCTGAAAGGGATCTTCCTCTGAAATTTCCAAAAACATGTCCATCTCAGGGATAGTTGGCAGGTTTGTGGGACAGGATGAAACACAATGAAGGAGTGGTGATAGTGGATGTATGTGAAGGGACTGAACAAAAAAAGTCCAGCCACAGTTAAATAAAAAATTAAAACACACACACACACACACACACACACACACACACACACACGAAAACCATGTAGGTTTGTAGTAAAAAAGAATGCGTAAGAAGAGGAGGAAAAAACAAATTGTTAGTTAGTGAAACTTCTTACTCAGAAGTAGAGATAGCACTACCAATGCAATATAAATGCCAAATAAAAATTGAAACGCCCCCTACATTTTTAAAAATTAGCCAACTTGTTCAGTTTTGAGATTTCTGGTTCTGAACCTATTATAGATTTTTTTTTTAATTTTAAGGTTATAACAAACTTTGCACTTTGGAATGGTAGTAGTGCAGTCACCACAGATGGGAGCAAACAAATATTCAAAGATTTGGCAGAAAATTAATGGTACACAGCAGCACATAAAAAGACAAGCAGGTGCTCAGATCCTAGGATTTACTACCATTTCCTCTAGAATTTAAAAATATCAAATAAATAAACAAACAAATAGTATTTAGAAAATAACGTTATTTGCAGAGCTGCTACTTATTGCAAGCTACACTGGATAGCTTCATAAAACATGCAACTCTTCCCAAAATGTTGAGCTTTTCCTTCCCATGGCTGAAAAATGTTTCTTGGTTGCCTAATCTATCCTTGAGTTCCCCAGTTTTGTGACTTTGAGGGACCACATTAGTATCTTGCCAGGAGCCAAAATTTGCATATTAATTTACCTAAATACATTTTTTTCATCAAATGTAGAACTGTGTGTCTTTCTTGACTGACTAAGTTAGTTGTTTAAGTTCCCGGCAATAAAAATGAAAGGCTGTTCACGTATGGTCTCACATTGCAGTTATAGAATGAGTGAAGCTATAAGCTGTACTAGGAGACTCAATAGGCCAAATGTTGTCCCCTTGGCCATAATTTGGATGCCCTTCACATAATTCACAAAAATGGAGTTTTCAACATGTAAAAATTCCTTAAGGTTAAAAAAGAGCCAATAGCAAGGGAGATTTCTGGATGCCTGCCAGGAAAAACAGAAATACATGTCAGAGAAGATACACAGACTATGATGACTGAATTCCAAAGTTTGAGCCTACGTTTTGGAAAGAGGCAGACACACAAGTTTTGATGTGAAAGCACATGAAACTATATCCATGTTAAAAATACGATCTGCTTCCTCACTGACAGCATAAAAGATTCTGAAGTTGACAAATCAAGCATGCACCATGTTAAGCACTGAAATGTACTCAAAAAAGGCACAATATATATAACCAAATAACAGATTGTGCATTTCACCGGATGTACTACACAATATTTAGAAGTCTGTTCAGAGTAAGCATTGTATAAACTAACTTATTCTGAGCCACATTTACATTTAAACAAGAGAAAGTTCTGTTCGCACAATTATATACTGGCAGTGTCTAATTATGGCAAATTAAAATTAACTTGTAGCAATGAAGGAAAAAAATCACAAGAATGAATGTTATGCATGCAATTTTTCAATTTATTCCTCTCTTTTGTGGTTATATAAAATATGTGGTATGTTTGTATACATGGTTAAACAAAGAAAGACTTTGTAATAATTTATTAACAATATATTCTAGTATGCTGCTTGTTATTTTTAAAAGACATACAACTCTACCTAAAGAGTAATTTTTATTGTTACAATCCATCATACCTTTTCATCCTGGGTTAATTCCAGTTGTGAGATTTTAGTTGGGCTTCCATCCTCATCTCTACCTTCACCATCTCTTAATTTGGTCTGACCAACAGCTTCACCGTCAAAGACCATATCACCAGCAGGTCCTACTGTGGCAGCAGAAAAGTCCCTCAACAGACTCTGGTCTATGATACCCACAGGAGCTATTAGAGAACAGAGAATTTTGGTTATTCTGGGTATGCTGGGAAAATTCTGTTTTCAGGATTTCTGAACATAAACTATTATTTTACAATGGCTTTTCCATTGAGGGATAAGAACAATACAGGGGAAAACTGCATAAATGAACAGTAAATTAAGTTATGATAACATCCCAAGTGTATGAATCATCAGCATTTATACTACCTGAAATGGATAAATGTTCCAGATTGTTATGGGTATATACTATACTGAGAAAATATCCTATAGTCAAGTAAAAACAACAAGTAGTCCTGTGGCACCTTAGAGACTAACAAATATATTATATTGTGAGCTTTCATAGGTAAAACCCACTTTTACCGACAAAAGCTCATGATATAATATACTTATTAGTTTCTAAGGTGCCACAAGACTCCTCACTGTTTTCAAAGTTACAGACTTTGAGACTTTATAGTCAAGTAGCCATTTAAAATTTTTCACATATCTAGTGACAATATAAGCCACCACAAAAAAACAAACAAACAAACATAGGCTGCACATTTCATCATATCCCCATGAAAGATATCATCTTGTACAAATTTGATAGTGATATTTTCAGTAGGGATGTCTATGTGTAGACAACTACACAATTAAATGATAAGCATAGGCTTATCAGTTAGTCCTATCGACTACACGCATCCCCCTCATCTTGCTGCCTCTGGATCAGAGGCTGCAGGGCGCAGGGAGGCAGGAGTTTTTAAATACCAGTTATGCCTGCTTCCCTCCCTACCCCCCCCACCATTCTGCTCCCTCTGATAGAAGCAGCAGCACGAAGGGTGAGGGGGGCAGATGGGGGCTTTTAAGCTTGATCTCTGTGAGTGCTGGCTCCACCGGCCCACCTCCACTTCCCTTGCTGCCTCCTATAGAGGTGGGGGGCAGTGAGCGGGCAGGAGTTGGTGCTGGCGGGGAGTAGGCTTAAAAACTGTATCCCCAAGCACCCGGTTTCACGGAGCCACCTCCCTCCACTCCTGCCTCTATCAGAGGCAGGAGTTAGGAGGGGGGCAGAGATGGGGGAGGCTGCCGCAAAGCAGCCTCTGTCCGTGTTAGGCCCAGGCTCCCCGCAGACAGAGGTGCTCGGGGAACTGCTTTTTAAACTGACTCCCCTCATGGACTGGCTTCCCCTGCCACTCTGTGCTGCTGCATCTGATAGATGCAGCTACACAACTATTCAATTATATGCTATCAAGCATCCCTAATTTTCAGTACATTCTGTTTACAGTTAATATAGAAAAAACATGCATATAGTTCTCTCAGGCTGTCTCTAGACTGCATCCCTTTTCCGTAAAAGGGATGCAAATTAGACATATCGCAATTGCAAATAAAGCAGGGATTTAAATCCCCCCCGCTTCATTAGTATAAAAATGGCTGCCGCTTTTTTCCGGCTCGGAGCTTTGCCGGAAAAAAGCGCCAGTCTAGACGCGGATCTTTCGGAAAAGGCTTTATTTTCCGACAGATCCACGTCTAGACTGGCGCTTTTTTCTGGCAAAACTCCGAGCCGGAAAAAAGCGGCAGCCCTTTTTATGCTAATGAAGCGGGGGGGATTTAAATCCCCGCTTCATTTGCAATTGCAATATGTCTAATTTGCATCCCTTTTACGGAAAAGGGATGCAGTCTAGAGACAGCCTCAGAGTATTTCTATTTTTGAACCCAGGATGAAATTAGCAACTGTAAAAATCACAGAAAATTCAACATAAAAAAGTTATACTTTTTCAAATTTTGTATCTTGAGAGAAACTTGGGGATTTTTTTTGTTTGCTTTATTCAGTTTGGCTCATCCATTCCCATTAGCTACTGGCAATAAATAATTGAAGTATGATGTAACAAACACAGACGACAATTCAGAGATAGTGATTCATTTAATTTCATTTTATTCTATTCTGACATCTAGAATCACTATAACCAGCAGGAGGAGCTCTAAGACCAGCTGGCTCAGCCAAAACACTGGCAATAATTCAGCAGACATTCAACCTGAAATAAAAAGAGACCAGTGAAAAGTGGCAAGAAAAATAAATATAATATGGCTGAAATTTTTTTATAAGATTGCACAAGCCAGAAAAGTTAACAGATATGGTAGCTATAACATCATAGAATTTTTTTGTAATATTCCGTATGACTATTGTGTCAGGAGTGGGGAACCTTTTTTGGGCTGGAGCTGCTAACCTGCAGGGATATCAGTTGGGGGCCGCACAAAAATGAGAAGCAAAAAAAATTGTTATGCTATGATGTTCTTTTTTATTTAGAAGCACCACGTGAAGCTTCTCCCTCATGCCAGATCTCCTGCGCATTCCTCTCCCACGTGCAGGAGAGGAACTAGAAGTAACTGGCTGCACTGTAAGGGAGGCTATGGGGAAGTTTTTGAAGTGCTGGACCCCTGCAGGACCTTCCCCCGCCCCGCCCAAGGGCCGGATAAAATTATTTGGTGGGCCGCATCTGACCCACAGGCCAGGGGTTCCCCAACCCTGCCCTATATGGTGCCTGGTTAACTAGGTGGTGGAGAAAGGTTGATTTATTTGTAGAAACCCAGAGATACAGATTTGACCAACTCTGAGGTGTATGGATCCTAGGATTGACCAAGACTGACTATGCTGGAACTTTCTGTTCTGTTAACCAAGGATTTTCTACACTTTATTACATATCTCTAATAAGCCCTTCTGTTTTACAACAATGGCTAAGAATCACTGCAGATTAAGATGGGAGGGTGCATTGTTCGCTTTGAGTACACGTTTCTCTCTCAGGTGTGCAGCTTGTGTGGATTCGCTGGAGGGAGCCCACAGTGTGAAACAAGGATACTGAAGGTTCTGAGGTCTGACCTAAGGAAGCAGTGAAGCCCAGAGGCTTACTCTAATAAGAGGGTCATCTTAATGTGGGTCTGGTGCACTAAGGGGGTCTTTCCGGGGACTGTTCCAGAGCTGTGCGAGAGCACCAGACCTGCGGATCACAGCAAGATGCCCACAGGAACTTGAAAGCAGTAGAAGAAACTGTACGGGTATGGGTGAATCACTGAAACATTACAATAATCTATAAAGATAACCATGCTTACTGGCAAAAACAGAATCCGACTACCCTAAACGATGGTGGTAAACTATTAAAACCTTTTGTCGGGAGTAGTATGATCTGATAAGAAATTGCCACTGTATCAAGAACAATATATAGATGTAAACATCTGATCTTAATATTTGTTTGACTCAAACTTGCAAAGAAATTAATCAAGAAACTGACAGTGTAAACCAAGAGGAGAATGCCTTGCAGAACACTTTACGGGGGGAGTAGTCCTGTGGCCCCTTAGGCCATGTCTACTATAGAAAACTATTTAAAAATTACTAAATTCAACTTAAGAAACTCCCAATTTAACAAATTCAAGCTAGAATTCCTCACTACAGGGAAGTATTAAAATTTGTCTGAGGCAGACTCCATTAATGGGAGCGCGCTACCTCAGACTTAGAGCCCCAGGAAGCACTCTGGGGAGCTGAGAGAGGCCTCACTGAGGCCAGTCCATTCAAATTACCAGCACCAGAGCATTCACACTAACGTTATTTTGAAATTACTATTTCGGAATTAGCATTACTCTTTGTGGGAAAACAGGAGTACAGAGCTTGAATTACATGGCCCATTATTTCAAAATAACAGGCTTGGTATTGTGGATGCACTGCTTATAAATTCGACTGGGGAGGGTGTTATTTCAGAATAAGGTCCTAGTGTAGACCAGGGCCCAGAGACTAACAAAGTATATGAACTTTCATGGGCAAAACTCACTTCTTTAGATGAGCTCATCTGAAGAAGAGGGGTTTGCCCATGAAAGCTCATCATACTATATATATTTTGTTAGTCTCTAAGGTGCCACAGGACTATTCATTGTTTTTAAAGTTATAGACTAACATGGCTACCCCTGTTTCAAAGGCACAAATGCGAGTTAGGTTCCTAATTCCCATTGATAGAATTTAAACTCCTTATTATAGCAGGTCACTGGGAAAGTGACTTTTGCAAAGTTCTGTTTGACACCTTTCAAGAACTAGTCAAAGACTTGATAACAGAAGGGGTATCGTATAAAGATGCTTCAAACTTAAAGCAGTGTTAGATCTCATTATTACTAATGGTTTTCAGAACCCAAAACAGTGGTAATTTAACTGCATTAGGTTTAAATCAATGGGAACACAGCACTTCCAACTGTTGAAATATTGACACATGTAAGTGTGATCTTACCTAAAACTATTATTTATTAAATTTAAGCACACAGACATAAACAATGGGTTTAGAATATCCCAAATAATTACATAAAATCTGATATAGAATTGAGTGATTAGTAGTAGGTCAACCATTGTGAATTGCTTCCCAGCCAGAGAGTATGGTGTCAGGAAAAAGTCTCTCAGGATAACTTAAAAACTGCTCCAAAGCACATTCATATCTAGTCTCTTTTTTAGAATTATAACTATATATATTTTTACAAAACATATAGCTCTCACTAACTCTTTGGGGCCATTATTTCTCTTAACTTCAATCAATTACTAACAAAACATTTGTAACAACTGTAGCCATAATAAGCTTCCATATCATCAGAGGCACCCAAACTCAAGGTCTCCATATACCTATTTTCATTGAGTTTCATAATCTGTTGACTCTTTCCTCCCCTACTCCCATTATGATTATCAGAAACTGCAAGCCTGCAGCTAATATTTGACCTTGCCTCTAAAGCCCTTAAATCCAAATTAATCCTTAACTATGTAGTGTTCTATTTTATTAATGCATGATAGCTGAATGCATACAATATGGTTACAATTTGCTCAAACAAATTCTTTGATAACACACCCCTAAATTCTGGGGTAACAAACACCAATGTACTTTTAGAAGAGCACTGATCTATTCTAGCAGCATCTTTAGTGCTTGAATCAGAGTCAAATCTCAGGAACTTCAAGCATCTCACCTTCTGAGTTCATTTGTAAAGTAATCTAAAGATGGAGCACTCCATCTAAAGATGGATAATCCTTTCATCTAGACAAAATAAAGTTGGTATGCTATCCCTGAGAAGCATGGCTGTCTCACATAAGGGGCAATCTTTAAAACTGGAGAGTTTAGACTCAGTCATTAGAACTGCAGCACAGTACTTTAGTATATTAAAATACCCAAAACAACCAACTGAAGTTATCAAAAACCTGTCAATTAACTACAACTAAAGTAGTTGAGGTCAACTAAAGTACCTAACTGCTAAATCCTGTAAGATGTTGTACAGAAAAGCTAGCCACGTTGCAGGAAATAAAGACATCCCCAGCACAGAAAGAAGGAACTGAGAGGTGACTGGCCTCACTCCAACAGAAGTTGTTAGCCAAAAGATTTCAATCTGGAGAGCCTGGGGCACATAGGCACCAACAATGGAACACATAAGTACAGTCCCTGAAGGAAGAACATGAGATACTTTTACACGGGTACTGATGATTAGTTCATACTGTACAGTATTATGAAAATGTGAAGTGTTGTGTACCCAACATATAACATCTCCTTAAGGCTAGCTATTTCTATCCTCATAGATCTTTAGTTGGTACTTAGTTCTCAAATTTTTACTATTTACAATGGTGTGTTGAAAGCAGATTTTGATCTGAGCAAGTTATAAATGTTTTTTTAAAAACTGCACGTGCATCAATTTACATATGAATTTTGAGGAGCTTGTATCAATATACAAATACATATGGAATATTATTTATATGTTGATTCTATAAGATCTTTTAATGTATACACTGAATGAAGGCTTCACTGCAGCGACTGCTTCATTTGCACCAGTATATCATCACATATTTAGTGTATTAGCTGACAGGATGGACAGTGTATAGTGAATAAAAGGGGGTCACTCAATGAGTAGCAAAAAGTAACAGCAACCAACTTGAAAACTAAAAAAGGCAGTGGTCCTGTGGAAATGATACATTCAGATATTTAGAGAGATCATCATAATGAATTGGTACAAAGAGGGCAGAAATTAAGGCTGTGAAGGCAAGCTGCACCTCAGGCATATCCAACTTTTCAGTGCTCTTCTTAACAACCGTAATGGTCTTTTAACATACATTTTTTGGTGTGGAATTACATGCTTGGGAGCAGCAGAGAGCAGCACAATCACAAATGAGAACCAGCCCTCATATTCTACGTCTACTTCCTTCCACTAACTGTTCAGAGGGATGGAACATTCTCTATATACGTCAGTTTAAGCAAAGGAAAGAACATCTGGTAGAAAGCATATTCTGCCAAGAGAAAAGTTAGAATGACAATGAAGCTTTAAGACTCTACTGGAGACAATGACTTAGTAATCTGAACATGAGGCTCAAGGATGCCATCAATATGATATAACTGACAGCTGTATGATGTGTGCTTTTTTTAAAACTGCTATTATATATTCTTTGTTACTTATTTTAACAAAGCTGATAAAGATAAAGAAGAGTAAGGTATTTAACCAGAAGAACCATTACCAGATTATGTTCTTATTACACAGGGGAGCAAGGGGGGTGCGGGCATGGGGCAAATGCCCCCCCCCATGTACTCCTTCCAAGCCCCGCCCTTGCTCTACTCCAGCCCCACCCTTTTCCTCCTCCTTCAAGCAATGCTGCCAGGGGGATTGAATGGGGCCTGGAATGGCAGTAGCAGGGGTCGCACAGCAAGCCAGGAGAGGACAGTGTAGTAGGGTACTGCAGAGCAAACTGCAAGGCCACTCCTGTTCACACCACCCTCATGGTGAGTTTGGTGGGATTGACTCCGGCTGCCATCCATGCCAGGCCCCTGTAACCGCCCAGACAACTCCTGTCCAGAGGACAACTGGGATGGCGACCACAGGGCCCCCAAAAGTGCCAGGCCTGGGGTGGCTGCCCTGATTCATCCTATGGATGGGGAGGGCTCTGAAAGGTAGAGAAGAGCAAACCTCTTAGGAAGGGCAATGAATAATATAATAGGTATAACTATTAACTGCAAAAACAACAAGGTCCATTGGTACTTTTGAGACTAGCGGACATTTAAAAATGGCGACACCCGGCAAGATGCAAATGAAGCCTGGGAAATTCAAATCCCGGGCTTCATTTGCAACTCCGGTTGCCTACATTACCACCCTAGTTCGAACTAGAGTGGTAGTGTAGATATACCCTAACAGATTAATGAGGACATAAAGTTTCATAAGTAAATCCCACTTAATCAGATGAATCAGAGTGGAGTTTACAGAGGCATGGTTATATATTTATATAAGGACAACAAAAGAAAGATGATACTTGTGTAAATGAGGCTAATCAAGTCTGGGTGGAAGTGGCTCGTTCACAGCAGCTGATGTGGAAATCAAGAGAAGGGAAATTGCCTTTGGAGAGAACTGGACTGGAATTTATTTGCAACTTCAATACTATCAACTTAGGAACGAATAAGGATCTCAAATGATTAACAAATTACAAAATCAATTTCCCCTCGCTTTATATCTACATCAACAGCTGTGAATGAGCCACTTCCACACTAACTTGATTAGGCAGTAAAGCCAAATAGGCACCACCAGCCAAACATGTGAGCAATTGCATAGCTTTCACAAAATGTATGAATGGAAGTCCAAGTCATGACTCCACATATTTCTCTGATGGCAACATCCTTAAGAAAGGCTACTGACGTAGAAAGGGAGTGAGTTAATACTGTAGACGGAGGCTGAAGATCATGAGACTGACAGCAATAGTCAATACAGCCAGATATCCATTTAGGGAGTCTTTGCTTGGGAACTGTATATCCCTTAGGTCTGTTCACAATAGAGGGAAACAAGCTGGGAGATTTTTCTGAAGGGCTTAGTCCTGTCTAGGTAAAAGGCTAATGCCCTCATAATATCAAGTGTATGTAATGTCACATCTCCTGCATCTTGGTGTGGCTTAGGGAAGAAACTAGAATTGTAGAAAATGTTTTTGCAAAGCGTCTGGGAATAGGTATAATATAGTTGTGCAGTCAACTAATATATGAACTTCTGGAATTGAGTTGCTAATTTCATAATATCTGATAAGTAATGTTCTAGGTATACAGATGTTAGCATTTTCTAAAGTTATCAACTGAACTAAGAAAGCATCAAGATGCAACAAAACCATAACACAATAAATTATATCAATTTATCAGAATCTCTTACCGCCATCAAGACTCCTGGAGACACGTTTACTGGAGGTACGCTCAAAATATGGAGCTGGCCTGTCTATAAGGTTGCTAGCCTGCCGTGTCTGTGCTTGAGTCCGGCCACTGTAGCGGAACTTGGAACCCAAGGTCAGAAACTTTGCCTTAGGAGGCTGTTCTGGTGATATAAGTCTAAAAAACAATTATGAAAATAAAAGTTATTTCTCCTGGTTCCATTAAATGCTTTTGTGCAGTACTTCATTACTGCTCAGTTAATTTGGAAAGAAAAATTGTTTAATGATAAAATTCAAGTGTCAGATAAAAAACTGCATATAAGAT